AAACCGTGATCGAATAGAGCGGAATACGCATTTACTACTGACGCATTGCAAATGAAACCTCAATAACTGTATATTCAAACAGTAAAGAGATACTTGCTACTGGATAAACCATCCAGTGACATGCTATTCTTACTGGTAAACTTATCCAGTAGAAGAAAGACAATGGAAAATCTACTCGAACAACCAAGCTATACACCCCACTTCTCCGGTCATGAGACTTTCCCACTAAAGCAGATGTGGCTGAAAAAGTCTTATGATCAAAAAAACATTGATAACACTCTTGACAAAGCTACCTTTACTCAGGATGAGGCTATCGGTGTGTTTGGTGTAGGCAAAAACATGGTGTCTTCCATCAAACATTGGTCGCTCGCATGCGGGCTACTTGAGGAGTCTAATACCAACAAAGGCGTTTTCATTATTCCAAAAGAATGGGACCTAATCCTTCGGGATAAAGGATTAGATCCTTTTTGTGAAAATCCAAGCACAGCTTGGCTTGTGCACTGGCGTTTAGCCGGTTTACCGGCGTCTAACAGTAAGCATCGCTCAACAACTTGGTGCTATATCTTTAACAATATAACATCATCTTCATTTTCACGCGATAATATCGTAGAGCGTCTTAAAGATTATGCAGCAGAAAGAAATCTAAAAATCTCAGAAGCAACATTAAAGAGGGATGTTGAGGCCTGCATTAGATCATACTGCCCAAAATCAGATAACAATATAGAAGAAAACGCAGAACCACTATTATCAGAATTAGGTTTAATTCAAGAGGAAAGTCGAGGTATGTTTTCCTTCAAGAGAGGACAGAAATACACACTCAGCGATCATATTTTTATTTTTTCACTCATAGAATTTTGGGAGTCCTTATATTCTGAAGCTAATACGTTATCTTTTGAAACTATAGCATATGGTCCGTCATCCCCTGGAAGAGTATTTAAACTTGATGAAGACTCTGTCGCGGACCGACTTGCAGCCCTTGAAGAAAAAACAAATGGTTTCTTAAAATGGTCTGACTCTTCAGGAATTAGACAAGTTGTAATATCAAATACATCTGAAAAAGAATTGGCTAACTTAAAAACTGAACAAATTATTATGGCGTATGGTGATTTATAATGTTAATGGACAAAGTTAAAATTACTCAACAATATCAACGCTCTGTCCGAATTGATACAGACTTGGGACGCTTGGATTCATTAGATGGATATATTTGTAATAAATCGGCACAGAATGTTTTTAATAATCTTTGCACACAAATCATCAACTCTGAACAAAGAGCTTTTACCTTAACAGGCCCATATGGTAGCGGGAAATCATCTCTTGCAATCACTCTTCTTTCTATGTTGCATCCTAACGAAGAAATAAGGAATAAAGCTTATACTCGTATAGATAAAAGTATTTTTCCATTATTTAAAAATGCTTTTCCTATCACCAATGGTTGGAATATTTTACCAATAACTGGTAAAAGAGCAAATGTCGTACAAGAAATAAATAACTCGCTGGATAAAAAAACAAAATCTAACAAGAAGAAAGAAATTAAACCAACAGGCGCTGATCTTATTGAACGACTAAAAGTTCTTAGTAATTCTCCATCATATGATGGTTTGATTATAGTTATCGATGAAATGGGAAAATTTCTTGAGTATTCGGCTCAAGAAGAAAACGATATACATTTCTATCAGGACCTTGCTGAAGCTGCTTCAAGAAGTAACGGCAAGTTAATTGTTATTGGAATTTTGCATCAAGCATTTAGACAATATTCATCAAAATTAGGTAATGAGATACAAAACGAATGGGCTAAGGTGCAAGGGCGCTATGCAGATATACCATTAATTTCATCAAGTGATGAAACAATTGAACTATTATCTAAAGCGATTTCAATTAGCGAAGATTTAAAAAATGATGTTAATGTAAATGTTGCTCAAATAGTAGCTGATGAGGTTAGAAAGAGAAGACCTTCAATTAGTGCACAGTTAGTAGAGTCTTTAATTAAATGTTGGCCATTACATCCAACGATGGCGACTATCTTAGGACCTGCATCAAGAAGACATTTTGGTCAAAATGAAAGGAGCATTTTTGGTTTCCTCTGCTCCCCAGAACCTCATGCGTTCTATGATTTCCTGAAATCAACAAAAGATAGTGAAGATCAAACATACACTCCAGAGCATTATTGGAATTTTTTGCGTACAAATCTTGAACCGGCAATACTATCTTCACCAGATGGTCATCGATGGGCTCAGTCTGTAGAAGCAGTTGAACGCGTAGAAGCTGGTTCCGACAAGCTAAAGGTTAGCTTGATAAAAAATATTGCAATATTGGATTTCTTTAGAAATAGTACTGGTCTACCTGCCTCTAATGAAGTAATTAAAAGTATTTATCAAAGTAATATCTCTAATGATTTAGAGACATTATTGAATGAATTAAAGAAATCAAGTGTCATCGTTTACAGGAAACATCTTGAATCCTGGGCTGTATTTGAAGGTAGTGATTTTGATATAGACGAGGAGATCAAAAATGAATTAAACAATATATTCTCCCTTGATTACGAACTGTTGTCTAAAGCTGCAGGCATTCGCCCTGTTGTGGCAAAAAAACATTATTACCAAACAGGCTCATTACGCTGGATGGATATATCTCTTTGTTCATTAGATGTATTCAAAGGGAAGCTAAAAAATTTATCCCCTATTACCTCTGATAAATTTGGAGAACTATTTGTTATTTTCCCGGAAAAAGGAATGACTCATTCTCAACTTAAAAGAGAAATTAAGAAAAGTAGAGGTGATATACCTGAAAACATTATTCCCGGTGTACCTGTTAAGGCAGATAAAATTGTCGAGAATGGATATGAGCTTATGGCTTTATATAAAATTCTTGACAGTAATCATGAAATAATAAGTGATTCCGTTGCCAGGAGAGAAATATATTCAAGAATAACGGTTCTGAAAAATATTATCGAGGAATCATTAAGAGAGGCATTACGCTATTCAGAATGGTTAATTAATGGTTCATGGGTTAATATAGAAAATTATTCATCTATTGCATCTACATTTGCAGATAAAATATTTTATGATACTCCATGCTTAAAAAGCGAACTAATAAATCGCAACAGTCTTTCACCTAATGCTGTTAAGGCCCGTAAAGATTTGCTCTACAAAATGCTGTATGCTGAAAATCAGGAAAACTTAGGATTGTCCGGTTGGCCAGCTGAAAGAGGCTTGCATGAGACATTATTAGTTATTCCCAAAATCCATAAATCTACAAATGGGGAATTTAGATTAACTATTCCAAATTATAACGATGATGTTGCAGTCTTGACACCTCTATTTAAATTCACAGATAAACTGTTCACAGATGAAAACAAGCTTGTATCAGTACAACAAATGTTTTCACTGTGGGGAAAGCCCCCCTTTGGTGTAAAGAATGGAATCCAACCAGTTCTCTTTTTGGTATATATTTTAGCCAACAAAGATAAAATGGCTTTATATAAAGATAATTACTTTATATCAAAGATAACAGACAGTGAAATAGACGAACTTCTTCAGGACTCTTCTCGTTTCCATTTGAAGAAGATCCTCATTGATGAAAATAAAAACAATCTACTTTCTCAAATTAGTAGAACTTTAACACAGTTGAATATTCCTTCTTCAGGACAAGAACCACTGGAGATTGCAAGAGCACTCGTTGGTATGGTTTATGCTTTGCCTGAATGGTCTAAGCGGACTTCAACATTATCTGAAGATAGCAAGAAAATGAGAGATCTATTGCTCAGAGCATCAGATCCTCACAAACTGTTATTTGTCGATTTACCATTTACATTCACGTCAGAGAATGATAGTGATCTTTCAGCAAAGATCGAATCTTCAATTAAAGAATTAGTTAATTCTTACAACAACCTTTTAGAAAATATACGCGGAAAAATGCTAATAGCATTGGATGCTAATAATAATGATTATGCTGAGATCAAGAACAGATCAAACATTGTTTCGGGAATTTCAGGCGATTTCCGGTTTGATGCTTTTTCAACTCGACTAAAAGATTTAAATGAAACAAACGAAAGTATTGAAAGCATTTTAAGCTTGGCAGCGAATAAGCCGCCGAGATTATGGTCCGACAATGACATTGATATTGCATTAATAGAAATAGCATCTTGGGCTAAAAAATTCAAAAGAATTGAAGTATTGTCTTCGATTAAGAATAGAAAACCTACAAGAGAGGCTTTTGCTTAGATTTTTGATGATCGAGAAACTGGAACAGTACAAGCTGAATATGATATAAAATCATCCGATACAAAAGTCGTAGAATATATTTCACAAAAAATTCTCAGTGAAATACACGATAAAGATTATAGCAAAAATATTTTACTGGCAGCTCTTGCAAAAGTTAGTATTGCAATTGTAAATGATAAGGATGATTAATTATGGCAGAACGACATGTTTTAGGTATCTCTGGTGGCAAAGATAGCGCAGCCTTAGCGATATACATGCGTCAACACTATCCTGAACTCGATATTGAGTATTTTTTCACTGACACAGGAAAGGAATTACCTGAGGTTTATGAATTTTTAGGTAAACTTGAAGGATTTCTTGGTAAAAAAATTAAGTATTTAAATCCAGACCGAGATTTTGATTTCTGGCTAAAAGAATACAATCATTTTCTTCCTTCGCCACAAACTAGATGGTGTACTCGTCAATTAAAGTTAAGGCCATTTGAACTATGGGTCAGACCTATGCTTGCATCCGGCGACACCGTTACCAGCTACGTTGCTATAAGAGCGGACGAAGAATATCGTGAAGGGTATGCTTCTAAGCACAAAAATCTAAAAATCGCCCTACCTTTTCGTGAAAATGGTATAGATAAAGCTGCTGTGGGTGAGATATTAGAAGCTTCAGGCGTAGGTTGGCCTGAATATTATAAATGGCGAAGTCGCTCTGGTTGCACATTCTGTTTTTTCCAGCAAAAAATTGAATGGGCACGGTTAAAAGAACACCACCCAGATGCATTTGAAGAAGCAAAAGCTTACGAAAAAAATGCCATGGACCACGGTTCACCATTTACATGGACACAAGGAGAATCTCTTTCTGAACTTGAAAAACCAGAGAGAATAATACAAATATTCAAAGATTATGATGAGAGAAAAGCGAGAGCTTCTGCAAAGAAAACGCTAAATCCATTACGCCCAATTGAAATCGAAGATATTGATGATATATATGGTGATGACGAGGGGAATGGTTCGTGTAATATATGTCATAAATAATTTAAGTGCACCCATTTGGGTGCACTATTTTGTATTACCCGAAGAAACTTATTCAACATTCAACCAAGCATGGATACGGTCCCATGCTAACTCGGCGATTCTGACGCTACGTTTCTCTATAAGTTCTTTTGTCCAATCACCTTCAACTAAAGCTACAGCTTTAACAAGCGGTAAATACCTAGACTTTGACAATAGCTCACTTGTAGATTGTGCTAAATTTATTCCTTGTATCTTACCTTGCTCCTGTAATGGCTCTAACTGGTCTGGTGTCATTGCAGACAGAATCTTGTAAAATAATTTTTTCTTAGCCCAGCTACCATTTTTAAGAGAGGAGTTTTCACGACTTGGTAATAATGTTAAATTGCCTAATCGATCAATAAGTTCTTGCTCCTCATAAATATCCTCTAACCAACCTTCGTGGGATTTTTCTTGAGGAGCGATGTGTTCAATCGTTTGTAATTGTTCACCTTTCCAATTTTTAATATCAAGCATAGGTAAAGTTCCCTCTCTACCAGCTACAGTAAGGCCAGGAATATTTTTATCCTCTACGCTATCATGAGCAGCAGCCAATAGAATAAAACGTGTAATTTCTTTCTGATTTGAATATGCAGGTATTTTTGAAATAGCCTTAACCCACTCATCCTTGCTTCCCACATTCCCTTCTTTTGCAAGTATTGATAAAAATGCCCTTTTAAGCCCAATTACATTTAAAGTAATTTCAGAACCAAATTCATTCATATCCCTTGCAAGGGGTTTTAAACCAACATCTTCATATCCATACATCATTAATCTACGATAATGCGAATCAATATTCTCTGTAGTACGACGCGAAGATCTCCAGAGAACAGAAAATGCAGTAATGGCTTTAACTGCATCAATAAAGTTATTAATTGCAATAGTTCTAAATTCAGGTGAAACTCTTCTGATTTCAGAGTAGAAACGAATTAAAGGACCAAGGGTAATTGTGTGATTAAATTTCCTAAGCAAATCAATACATAAAATAACTTCATCAGTCTGGGCTTCTTCAGCAGAATAAATCGATGAGGTTAATGACTTATCATCAGGCCAAGAATATCTTATGAATAGGGCAGCATGCGATAAGTGTCTAACAAATTCTTGTTGTTGTTTTAATTCAGGAAGTTTTTCAAAGCTATCCTTGAGAAAACGTCTTTGCTCACTAAGTCTTTTTGAAAGCTTCTCTCCTTTCTCCGCTAATGCGAAAGAAACAATCAACCGACTTGTTGCCTCCTGTTTATCATTTGATTTGCCGGTACTTTCGAGATAATTTTCAATTGCTTCTACATATTGATGTGATTTCGAACGTTCATACCCACTAAGTTTTTCGGCATTTATAATCTTAGGTTTGAAAGTTTCAAAAGCAGTTAATGGTTCCCCTGTCGTGTTTAAAGATTCAAACATATCGAATGCATAATCTTCATTTTTAGCAGTAACTATAGTTATCGCAACACGGTCAAGAACAAAGTTAGCAAATAAAATTAACCGAATCAATTCTTCAAATGATTGATCATCATTCTTTATTAATTTATCTTTCACATATTCTGGAAACTCCGATTTCAGGAGAAGGTTTTGAAACTTCTCATTTTCCAGAATGCTTGATATTTCTGGAAGTTCTAATTCTAGTTGATCTGATTTCACAGAGCTCTTTCCTGTGGAATCATTGGATTTGCATATATTTTTGACCAGAGCATATACTGTTTTCCGGCCTTCAGATAGTGGCTTATATTTACTGCTATTCTCTTGTTCACTTTCAGGAGGATCATATTTAAAGTTCTTCTTGATTTCCTCACGACCATATTTGCCGTATGTATGTAAATAATGACCTATAGCAGATTTATAACTCGCTTTATCCTTTTTACGAGACCACGAGTCGTCATATGCTCTAATCATTCTCGGATAATATCGAAAATTTTCATCGCCATAATCTTTGTCTTCTTCGAATGTTTTTGCTAATCGACCGATCACCTTCATGCATTCTTCGACTAACCAAATGTCGGCATCAGCTTCGCTTTTCTTATTTATCTTTTTAACTAACCTAATTTTTATCTCTTCATGTAATACAGTATTCACTAATAGCAATGTAGTCAATCTTTGTTGACCATCTATTATAGTCATCACCCTAGAAGGAACATCGCCCTTAACTATAGGATCAACCGTAACTAAATTTGTATCGTGAATTGCGATTATAGTGCCTAAAAAAGTTATTGCATCATCTCGGCTTATGAGCGTTGTGAACCCATGACAAATATCCTCAATTAAACGTGTTATTTTAGGTTTATCCCAAGAATATTGCCTTTGATATGCTGGCACATACAATCCTTGACCATTCTCACAGAGATACTCCCAAACACTTTTGGGTTGCGCCCCGAAAACATCTTTGATTTCCATATAACCTCTTGATTTAATACTATTTATTAAAAAATTAACATTTCGGCATTTTACCACAAATGTGATTTTACCAACTATGGAAGACTTAGCAATAATCATCAAACAATACTAACTAATCATCTCTTAGCAAGGGCTAACTCTACGAAACGCTATGCTGCTTCTTCGAGTTCTCCATTGTTTTTTCGCTTTACTGTTGAAAGAATAAAAATTAAAAAATATATGTTAACATTATCCATGATCTAGCATATAAATAAAGCGAAACAAATATGCTTTTACTTATTTTAATTAATAGAGCTTCGTATGAGGAAAAATAACTTTAGTAAACGTCCCTATTATAGAAGCGGTAGCAAAACGAAATTTTAACAGAAGCAACTTCATTTTCATTGTGTAAGTGTCCGGCTTAATAATGAAGAGCTCACGCTTCTAAACGATAAACGTGGAAGCTATCGGCTTTGTTTATTTTTGCTTAATGTGCTTCCTAGTATTGTCTCAGCCATTAATGTAGGAACATGGGATCTTTGGCAGGCTTTTCACAGAAATAAATAAAAATATTACCCACCTTGACTGCTCCAGAAATGCATATGCCAGATGAGCGTGTATATCAATAAAGTCAGGCTCCCGTTGGGCAAGGTGCCTGAGTTTGTTGATAGAACTCGTCTCGCTGATTTTATCAGTGCCGTATGCATCATGCACTTCTTCAAACTCCTCCAGTAATGGGCCAAACTAGGTATTCGGAAATACGAAACGGCCTTGATTATCGTTCACATCAAAGCGTAATCTGTCGTTCATTTTCTGAGCCTGTAAAACGGATGGAGCACAATCTGAAAAGCATAAAAGTCGTGATGTTGTGTATCAAGTCTTGTTTTTGCCCGGGATGAATATTGTTTACAATATCATCGACAGTAGTTCTTCATGTGGATAAAAATTTATCTTTATCTGCATTCCAATGTATTGTGAATTGTCAGCTAAGACAACATGTTAGTTGATTTTTGGGATGATGGTGCTGAAATAACGACAGGATGATGATTGAAATTACAGGCATCAAAATTGTTAGCGGTCCATGGCGATGTGATGTTCTGAGATTGTTTACAGATGCAATATAAATATTTTGTCAAAAAATATCTAAAAGTAAAACATGAAAACAAAATTCCTCCAGACCTGGAGGCCGGAGGAATTTTGTGAATTGAGAGAAAATATCAGGACAAGGTGCCTTAATACTGACTCTCGTGGCTGGAAAGCGAATCAATGTAATCAGCGTACCATTGCATCATTTCACGGCGACCATCCAGATACAGGGCATGATTATAGGTACCCCTGATGGAGTTTTTATCCTACATGAGCTAACTGCGTTTCAATCCAAGCAGAATTAAAGCCCTGTTCGTGCAGAATGGTACTCATGGTGTGACGAAAACCATGACCGGTTGCTCTGCCATCGTAACCGATACGTTTGAGCACCATATTGATACTGGCTTCGCTCATTGGCTTGTTGATATCACAACGTCCCGGGAAAACCAGCCGGTATTGCCCGGAGAAAGTTTTGAGTTGCAACAGAATTTCAGTGGCCTGTCGTGATAGTGGTACGACATGTTTACGCCGCATTTTCATACGGCTCTCAGGAATTGTCCATAAGGCATTATCAAAATCAACTTCTGACCATTCAGCAGTCCGCAATTCAATGGTTCTGAGGCCTGTCAGAAGTAACAGATTTGTTGCCATACGAGTAACAGGACTACCATGATACTCAGCGAGCTTCCGGAGAAAAACAGGAAGCTCATCTGCTCTCAGGTGGGGGAAATGCTCTGTTTTTGGTGCCGCCAGAGTGCTGGTTAGTTCAGATGCTGGGTTGACAGTGGCTCGTCCGGTAGCGATAGCATAACGAAAAATCTGATTACAGTATTGACGGACTTTACGCAGTTTTTCCAGCGAACCACGTTTTTCTATGCGACGCAGAATTTCCAGCATTTCCAGCGGGAGGATATCAGTAACGCTTCGTTTGCCCAGATACGGGAAAATATCTTTATCCAGAGCCTCCAGTACGCTTCTGGCGTAACTTTCAGACCATGACAAAGATTTATGCTGGTGCCATTCCGTAGCGAGGGCATGGAACGTATTGGTGGCAGAGATTTTCTGAGAGAGTTTTTCCTTTCGCTTCTTTTCGCCCGGGTCACCACCTTCGGAGATAATTTTTCGGGCATCGTCGCGTTTGATTCTGGCTTCAGCAAGGGAGACGTCGGGATAGACGCCGAGGGCCAGTTTTTTCTCTTTTCCTGCTATCCGGTATTTAAGCCGCCAGTAGCGGGCACCCGTGGTTTTTACCAGCAGATATAAACCACGTTCGTCAGAGAGTTTATAGTCTTTTTCTTTAGGTCTGGCTGTTTCGACCTGTCTGGCTGTAAGTGCCATATGGGGGCTCCTGAAACTGACTGAACACAATGAGCCCCCACCGGTGCCCCCAATGAACG